AAGTTCAAGGCCAGTAGTATTATAGATACCTATGGCTGCTTGTGCGCATCTGCGTTCTACAATTACTATAAGCAAAACCAAGAGGAAGGTATGTACCTTGTTTATGTCTCTGAGAAGGGGGAGGCCGTTAAAACACCCTCGGAGATAGAACGCGTCGTTGCTAAGTTCCCTGATCTGTTCGAGGAGCCCACAGGAGTTGTTGAAAGGGAAGTCGTCCACGCTATAGAAATCATTCCAGGGAGTAAGACCCCAAAGGGAAGGATCTATAGGATGGCCCCCGCCGAGTTATATGAACTTCGGGGACAGCTTAAGGAGCTGACAGAGAAGGGTTGGATTCGGCCTAGTACTTCCCCTTACGGATCACCCGTTCTATTCGTACCGAAGAAGGGGGGTACTTTGAGGATGTGCATTGATTATAGGGGCCTCAATGTCATCACTGTGAAAAACGCAGAGCCTCTACCTCGCATAGACGACCTATTGGATAGGGTGCAGGGATGCAAGTACTATACAAAGATAGACTTGAAATCCTGATATCACCAGATCGCAATAAGACCTGAGGACCAACACAAGACAACTTTTCAGACTCGTTACGGTCTGTATGAGATTGTAGTGATGCCTTTTGGTCTTTGCAATGCGCTGGGTACATTCCAGCACGCTATGAATCGGATTTTCCATGACCATTTAGATAAGTTTGTCGTGGTGTACTTAGACGACATTCTGATCTTTAGTAAGTCTGCCGAGGAGCACACAAAGCACGTTGAGACGGTTCTCTCACTCCTACGACAGCACAAGTATAAGGTCAACTTAGAGAAGTGTGAATTCAGCCGCACTAAGATACTATACTTGGGTCACGAAGTATCCGCGGAAGGGATTAGGCCGGAGGATGCAAAGGTGGCTAGTATTCAAGACTGGCCACGACCTCAGACAGTCACCGAGGTCAGATCATTCTTAGGAATGTTCGGCTACTCTAAGAACTTCGTAAATAACTATTCTACAATCGCCTCTCCTTTGACTGATCTAACTCGACTTGACACACCGTGAGACTGGAGTGATGAGTGCGAGGGTGCTTTCAAGAGATTGAAGCATGCACTCATGAATCATGAAGTTCTCATGGTTCCCGATCCGCAGAAGCCATTCATAGTGACCACTGACGCAAGCCAATACGACATTGGCGCAGTGCTGGCTTAGCAGGATGGGAAAAAGTTGAGACCGGTTGAGTACATGAGCAAGAAGATGCCATCAAAGAAGTTGGCAAAGTCCACCTACGAGAGGGAACTCTATGCTCTATATAAGGCACTTGTCCATTGGAGACACTTCCTTCTAGGAAGGTTCTTCTACTTGAGGACTGATCATCAGACCCTCAAATGGATCAAGACTCAACCGACTCTTTTTGACGCCCTCAAGCGATGGATTGAGGTCATAGACCAATACGACTTCAAGCTTGAGTACCTGAAGGGAGAGTACAATAAGGTTGCAGACGCGCTATCCCGTAGAGCAGACTACCTAGGTGCGCTAGTTTCTGACTTTGGTGTATCTCAACAAGTAACTCAATCATTGGTGGGAGCCTATCAGGAAGACCCTGTCACGATGGAAATCATTCGCAAGCTTCAGGCAAAAGACAAGGCCACAGAAAGTGAGTTTGTGGTAGTGGACAGGTTACTCTATCTTGATACGGCAGGAATAAAAAGGCTACTAGTTCCATCTAGTGAACCCTTGCGTAGTTTATTTTTAGGCGAATGCCATGACGCAACTGGGCACTTTGGCTACAAGAAGACGAGTGCTAACTTTGTACAGCGATTTTGGTGGCCTGGTATGTTTGATGACGCAAAGAAGTACGTAGAGACCTGTCAGGTCTGTCAGCGGGATAAGCCGCGAACTCAAGCACCGCTTGGGTTGTTGAAGCCTTTRCCTATCCCTGCTGGTCCAGGACAGAGTGTCTCCATGGATTTCATGGACACCYTGGTGACTAGTAAGAGTGGCAAGAGGCACATCTTCGTCATCATCGACYGATTCACCAAGTACGCTAGACTAGTGGCTATGCCAGAGACCGCAAGAACTGATTTCGTCATCAAGTTGTTCAAAGACAACTGGGTGCGTGACTTTGGTTTACCAAAGTCAATCATTAGTGACTGAGATGTCCGATTCACAAGTGGAAGAAGACTGCAGAACAGATGGGCAGTCAACTTCAAATGACTTCAGGGAATCATCCCGAAGCCAACGGACAAGCCAAACAAATGAACAGAGTTGTACAACACTTGCTGCGGCATTGCATCAAGCCCAGCCAAGATGATTAGGATGAGCAGTTGCCTCTCATCGCCAGCTTGTGCAACAATGCTATCCACAGTAGTACCGGCATTAGTCCTAATCAGTTGCACTTGGGATGGAAGCCTAGATCAGCATTAGACTTCCTCCTACCTGAAAACCGACCCGCTGCAACTCCAGGCACACTAGAGTATGGTGTGCAGTATGAGAAGTTGCTGCAAGAGGTTGTCGAGCATATGAAGAAAGCTCAACAAGCAATGATTGCTTTTGAGAATCAACATCGCAGACAGTCCACATTTCAAGTAGGGGAACGAGTCTGGGTCAAGGCTAGTGAGTTAGGACAAGAGTTCGGAATCTCTCGCAAACTAATGCCTCAGTACTTTGGTCCCTGGGAAGTCTTGGATATAGTGGGAGATGAGATGGATGGTCCCACATATGTCATTCGTGTCCCTGGACACCTACGCACTCACCCAGTCTTTCATGCTTCAAAGCTTGCACCTTTCGCTGAGACATATCAATTCCCTTCCAGGAGATCGATGGTGCCCCCAACCATGGATGGACAAGTGGACATCGACGACATTGTGGATCACAGGGATATGCCTGTTCCGAAGCCGCTGGGTCGAGGAAGACCTCCTAAACCCAAGAGAGAGTACCGCGTCAGATTCAGGCATCATACGGATCCGAAAGAAGATCGATGGTTTATCAGGGAGGAACTGATTGAGACAGCTCCTCAGGTGCTGGCAGAATATGAGAGGCTACTGAAAGGGAAGGCACCTGCGAAGTAAGCATCTCAGCGGACTTTCGAAGCTAAGGGGGATGGAATGTGAGGATTGAGCCCTCAAGTAGGGGCCTTGCCATGTTTTACATGTTTTTGGCTAAGGCCCCAGCAAGCCTCGTGCCCGCCCTAAGTGAAGGTGGGCCAGCAAATCAACAAGAGCCCTCTATGCCAACATTTCACGAAGTGGGGTCTATACAGTTGCAGCACGCCAGTTGGTTGGAGTGCACCGAGTCTCGGATTTCAGCAAATGCTGAAATGCCCAGGGCCTCTGAGTTAGTTAGGCCCTGGGCACTTGAATGTGAGGCCGGCAATGCATGCTGGGTAGAGAGGCCGAAAATGCCAAAGGGAAATCGGCCCACGAACTGAATCCGGCCGCAGGCCTTGATGAGGGAGGCGCAACTGCATTGCTCCGGGGCCCAACTGTATCGGGTAGGCTTCAGCCTCTGGGCCCCGGTCACAGGCTGAAGGGAGGCCGCCCACACTCTGCATTGGCATATAGGCAAGCAGGGCGAGGCAGAACGCATCTTGGCCAATGCAGGCATTGCCGGCACGCTGCGCGAGTGCACGGGTGCTGCGCGGTGTAAAGCTGCGTTGTGCGCAAGCAGACAGGCCAGCGTTAATGCGGAGGAGTGCTGCCTGGGCGCAGGGCGCTGGCGGCCATAGCCGGCTGCAGGGGAGGTGAGGGCGAAGGTGGTACTTTGGAGGTGAAGGGCGCTGTGTGGGTAACAAGGGAGAGTGTGGGGAAGAGGACACGTACCTGGTG